CACCCAGCCCACCCTCCTAGAGTCCCCCACAAATTGACCTCACTGGGCCTGCTTTTATGAAAGGTTTATTCCTAGTGCTAGGTCCCAATCTTCCAGGGCTCTAAGCACAATTAAACTGGGTGGGTAGGTGAGGGGAGGCCCATTTAGATGCAGGGCCACCCGTTAATCCCACCCCTTTGGTCCCAGTCCCCTTCTCTGCAATGGGCACGCACAGAGGGACAAAGGGTATTGGAGGCAACATCATTGGCCCAGGGGAGCCCAAGAAGAGCTGCCATTGGCTGACAGGGCCTTTTGAGGCTCTGCCATTGGTCAGGGGGCACACCCCAGGAACTGGGGATAAGCCTGAGTGATTCCATTGGCCAGGGAGTCGTTTTATCATAGCCTTTGGCTGTGGAGTGGAAGGAAAAGATCTGGGAATGAAGCCCAGTGGCCAGGAAGATAAGGGACAGGGCAGCAGCTGCTGGGCCTATAGGCCCCATCCCTACCCATAGCAATGTGGGCAAAACTGGTGTCAGGCCCCAGCCAGGGAAAAGGAGCCCACATCAGAGGGCAGGTGGCAAGGGATGTCCCATGTCCGATCTCCCCCACCCTGGGACTGTCCCTCCCAGTGTCTTTATGATAGCCAGGTTGGGCTGGGAGCGGCTCACTGCTCCTCTAGCCAGGAGGGCTTCTCAGCTCCTGGAGGCCTCAGCTTGATGTTGAACTGCTGCAGGGTCTGCTCCAGTTGTTTCTGGTTCCCAGCAAAGTAGGCAGACACAGCATTGTGGAAGAGCAGCAGTTGCTTGTGCATCACCTTGATCTGAGGGTCCAGAGGGTCAGCTGAGGCTGGACTCAGGTGCCCTTCTTGAGGGGCAGAGCCTGACACCAGACCAGGGGCACATGCACTCTGCTCTGATGGTGCTTTTGGGTTGGGGGCTGAACTCCACCAAGGGTGTCAAAGGAGAAGGGTCAAGCTGATGGGAGAAATCTAACTTGATTTGCTGCGCCTGGGGTTTTGGTACCACAGCTCATGATCCTGGGACCAGCAGCCAATTCTTTAACAGAAAAGGGCCAGGAACTGGAAGGGGGGAGACCTGTAAAGGTCCAGGGGTTAAGGGGGCTAGGGGAAGATCCCACTCCTTAGTTAGGCTGCATTTCCCCATCCAATGATGGGGAGGGTCTAGGGGAAGAGTCAGTGTTACAGATGGGAAGGTGGGCTGTGGTCAAAGGGGTGGGGTTGGCACCTTGTTTTCTTCCAGGAACTTGAGCTTGATGGCCACATCTCCCCGCAGCTTCTCATATTTGTCCCGATGGGCCTGGAAAGTGGCCTGGGCACTCTCAAGTCGACCACGCGTCCCTGCATCCCGGGGGCCTAGGCTCAGCTCCTCTAAGTCTGTTCGGTAGGCATCATATTCCAGCCTGGGGAGGGGATGATACAGGCTCATTTCCACCCCTTTGTCCTTCACACTCTCCTTTCCTTCCTGAATTCTTATGCCCCTAATCTCAAACTCCTACCCAAAGCAGCCAACTCCCCAAACCCCAGGCCTTGCCATGTCCACACCTGGCAGCTTCATACTGTTTGACAGTCATGAGTGTGTCTTCCATGGTCTTGGTGACCAATGTGTTGATGCTAGAGACAAAGAAGTTCACAGCCCCTAGTAGTGTCTCTCCATTCTTGCACAGCAGCTTCTGTGTCTCTGCATTGTAGCCAAATTCCTCCTGAGGGCAGAAGGGAGGGGCAGGCCTTAAGAAAGAATCCTCACCTGACTGGGGCTGTAGGGCCCTTCATTACCCTCTTCCCCATGGAGGAAGCAGGCATCAAAACTGAAACAACCAAGGACTACCTTCAGCAAGGCTCTCTTAGCCAGAAAGTTAGTGGGGCCACCCTGGGGATGCCTGGGGTGGGAATGTGGGGGTGGGGTTCTCAGACAAGTTCACAGGACTAGAACAGAGAAAGCTAGTGCAGCAGGCAAGGGAGGGGCTCGGATTAGGCTGAGCACCAAAGGCATTCTCACCAATGCAGAGAAGGGTTACTTGTGAGGCACCTAGTGTGCCACCTCCCCCAGCCCCTCCAACTTCTGGACCTCTGTACAAACCCTTAGGCTGCCTCCACAGGTGAGTGCTGCTGGGGGCAGAGCTGGGCCCACCCTGTAGGGGTTCTCCCTCTGGGCTGCAGGAGGGAGGGAGGGAGGGAGGCTGAGGGGTGACTGCCTGGGAGGGCCTGGGCCCAGTCCCCCCACCCTCTTTGGCCTGGCCAAGGCACCTGAAGCTCTGGGGACTTCTGGCTGAGGTCAGCAAAGGCGTCACCTAGTGCATGCTGGGTCTGCAGCAGGCTGTAGAGGTGGGCTGTCAGTGACCGGCCCAGCTGCAGGACACTCTCATACTTGCGCTTCGTCTCACGCAGCAACTCAATCTGCAGCTCTAGCTCCAGGTCCACAGTCCGAGAGCCTCGGCCAAATCGCTCTGATAACAGCTGCTTTGTACACTGATCAGGAAGTGGGGGAACAGGTCAGAGACCCCAGCACTCTGCCCCCACAACAGGTATCTACCCCAGCACACCCAGGCTCCTAGTCTCAGCCATAGATGGAATATTAGGATCTAGGAGAAGGAGAAAAGCTACCCAGGAGGAGTTTGGGGGAAGGGAGAGGTGCTTGAATCCCACCTTATAAGTGTTGATGCCCCATTTCTTGACGATGTCAAACTTCTCTCCAGCGATGCCCCGAGCCACCTCATCTCCGGGGCCAGCAGGAGTGGCACTGTGAGATGGATGGCGGCCAGACCCTAAAGGACCAAGTTCTCTGACACCAGCCTTTCTCAGATACAACCAGACACCTCTGTGGCTCCACCCATACTTCCCTCCCAGCACCTGAAAATGACTTTCCTAAAGAAGCAGAAGCTAGAGACAGTTAGATTCTCCTACTCACTAGGAGGAACTCATATCTTGTGCCCTGAGACCCAAATCCTAATAAATATCTGGACTCCTTCTGATGTGGTGGTGGGGATTGGAGGGGGAAGGAGAAGGGTGCTACTAGTGTATAGGGGCAGAGGAAAAAGAAGGAAATATGCTGAGTGTGGGGTGGGAGGTCAAGGATGGTAAGAGGAAATCTGGTTGACATTCCTATGTGGTATCCTAGTCTGTGTGACATTCAGGGCAGTTTATTCCTCTAAACTTTAGAGTCTAGAGTAAAACTCTGAAAAGTCTCATAAAGTTCCAAATCAGCATCAAGCTCCAGAGCAGGGGGAACTTCTGTGGAACAGAAGTTGACTTAGGTGGTGGCAGCAGAGAAAGGGTACATCTCAGGGGAAGTAGCAAATGGGCGCAGCTGGACAACCCTGGGAACTGGCCTTGGGGTGAGGAGAGTCCATAGGGCTCATACCAGTAGAAGTTTCCAAGATCTCTAGAGATAATTCAATCTTTCTTAGCCATATCCTATGCTCCCAAGAACCATGCCTCTCCCCCTCTCCACTCAAGCTTCCTGTCCTGTTCTGATCATTCATACCTGTGGGGATGAGTCCATCACCAGAGCCCCCATAGCCACCAGACACAACGCTGGTTTCATTGAGGTTGGGTCCTGACACCATCACCTGCTGGAGGTCCTATAGGCCAGAGAAGAGGAGGCTTCAGGAACATAGGGGCAGCTGAAGCATTTTGGGGGTGAGAACAAGCTTGGATTGAAGCATCATAGAGAGAGCACACAAGGGAAGTCTGCACAGAATCAGAATGAAGATTTGTAAAAAGATTGAAGGGAGTTAGATAAGTTAGGGAGGGTGACTAGAACAGAGTGAAAGCCTGCGGATTATGAGTTGGGATCCATAACTTGAAACAATAAGGAGAAAAATCAAACAGAAGCACCTGCTCCAGCCCATCATCCTCAGGAAGCTGCCCAGCTTCGCCATTCCCATGGATGGGGATCTCCATTGTGGCCGCCTTCCCTAGGATCCCGTCCGTCATGGCTAGGGAAGGGACTGGAATCAATGTCTCTGCCCCAGCGCCCTGCAAAGCCCAACACAGACAGTTCTGGAAATTGGCCAGGAGTCTATAAGAGAAAAGTCTCCTCTACCACTTCTGAGGTTTTAGAGGTTGTCCCAGGGCTTGAGTCTTCTGGTTTGGCTACCACTCCTTTCCTCAGGTCGCATATGTATCTCTCCCCTCCAAGGTGCACAGTTTTACACATGCACACCCAGGCCTCAGGTGTCTTCTCATGACCCTCTAACCCCACCAGGACTCCATGATCATTCATGCATTCAATCATTCAATAGGCAGTGAGTACCTACTATGTGCCATGCACTATTTGAGGCCATGGAAATACAGCAGTGAACAAAACAGATAAAGTCTGTATTCCGTTGGCGCTTATCCCCATGCAAGTGTTTCTCCCCATCAGGAGATGAATCCCTTTCCAGGGCTCAGGTATGCCGTCCACGGCTTGGCCTTTCACACTCCTTTAGTATCTCTTCCCGTTTCCTTCAAGCCATCTCCTCCTTCTCCACCCCATGCACCTCTTCCTCGGGGCCCTCCCCACCAGGCCTTAGTTGAATCCGTTGGTGTATGTTCTTGGCCTCTGGGAAAAGCTTCTTTTCTCCAGGACATAGCTGATCCCTTCCAAAGTCAGTTATGCCTCCCCAGGTGTGTTTCCCTGCCCCCCCACCCCATACACCTGGGCATCAGGTGTGTTCTCATCCTTCCCTGGGCTCAGAGGTATCTTGCCCTCAGGACAGGTTCATGCGTTCAACTTCCCGTCGACCAGGTATGCCCCTCTCACCTCGGGCTGGGCCGCTCTTCCCCTCAGGGCGCCAGGCCCGGGCCGCGCGGGGACCTCGGGCTCCAGTGCCCGTCGCGATCCTAGCAGCAGGTCAGGGATTCGGCGGAAGTGACGTCCCCTCCCGGGCAGAAGAAGCCGGCCACGTCGCAGATAGTAAGGGCGGAAGTGACTTTAAAGCTGGGGGCGGGGCTATCCTTGAGCCAACCTTTCAGTCCCTGGGATCCTGGAGAGATTACTTCCGGGGCGTGACTGAGAGGCCGTAACGGAAGTGAGGGCGGGCGGCCGGGCGTGCGCCTGGGGCGGGATGGAGCAGCAGCAGCAGCAGCTGAGAAACGTGAGTAGTAGCTGAAAGCGACCTCAATGCCTTACATTGAACTTGCATCCCCGTCCGCAAGGCGGGGACCCCGAAGAGCCAGGGATCCAAGGGCTGGGGACACTGGGCAGCGGTGCGCGGTCCTGGGAAACTTGGGGGTGGCGCGGCCTTGAATGGCGGTGTGGGCTCCCTTTTCGCTGAGTTCTCGGTCCCCTACTCTCCCAGTTGCGGGACTTCCTGTTGGTCTACAATCGGATGACGGAACTCTGCTTCCAGCGCTGCGTGCCCAGCCTGCACCACCGAGCTCTGGATGCCGAGGAGGTGGGGAACCCGAGTAGGGAGCTTCGTCCTGCGAGTTAACCGTAGACTGTTTTCGTCCTGCCCCGACCCCCCATCAGCCCGTGGCCGAGGTCTTTCTGTGACCCTTGCCCCTAGGCTGGGACGGGAAGGAAGGAGACAGACCTGACAGGACACCTCTGGCCTCTACTTCCACCCTGTCTTTCCTCCAGGAGGCCTGTCTGCACAGCTGTGCCGGGAAGCTGATCCACTCCAACCACCGCCTCATGGCCGCGTATGTGCAGCTCATGCCTGCCCTGGTACAGCGCCGCATCGCAGACTACGAGGCTGCCTCAGCCAGGCCCGGTGTTGCGGCCGAACAGCCCGGAAACTCGCCTGCAAGCAGCTAGCCATCCCCCACCCCAGGGAGGGAGGCACTGGATGGACCCTCAGGTGGAAGGAGCCAGTGCACCTTGGGCTGGGTGCAGCCTGTATATAGAGAGCAAGGAGTTGCCTGAGAGCTGGGTACTGTGGCTCCTTTTCCTGGAACTAGTAAGCCCGCTTTTATTCTGTTTGGTTTATGTTCTGGGCAGGGAAGCTTTGCCCGTTTCATTAGCACCATCCTTTGTTCTGTCAATGCATGTCTGCTGGCTTCAACCCTTGCAGCAGAGAAATTGCCTTCTATGTGTAGAAGAAAAAGTCAGCATTCACTCCCAAGCACCTGGTTAAAGCAAGGTCTGTGGGTACAATTTTAAGGTTGGTAATCGCAACAGGAAGGTGGTTCCTGGCCAGATGACAGAGAAAATGGGAGCTCTGTCTAGCTGTCATTAACTTAAATCTGTCTGACTTCAATGGCTCACTTGTGAGCTGGGTATGCATTCATTCATAATTTTTTTTTTTTTACTGTGTCTTACAAAAAGGAATTCTGCTAGATTTAGGGAAAGGAGGAGGTATCTAACGACAACATATCAAGAAATCACAGGGTGTTTAGGTACTACCTTTTTACAAGTCAGTAGCTCCAGAACAGATGAAACCTATAAGTTCTGGGTATTCATTCTGAAACTAACCATATCCCCAGGTTGTTCCTTTCTTACTATTTTCTGTCTTCCTGAATGAGCAATAAAACATTTAAGCAAAGAAGGTATTTGTGCTTGTCTTCAGGGGCTATCAGAAAGGGGAAAACTTGGGGGACCATGTTCTGCAGTATGGTCAAATTTGAGAAAAAGAAACTCAAGGGAGAAGTATATGGTGGTTATTGTGGAAAAGGGGATAAAGCGAAGTCTTCAGGACCTCTTTAATGTTACCTTCATGTCTCACTGCTTATTTATAACCTCCTAATTCCAGCTCTTCCACCCTCTACCCATGTTGTTCCCGCTGTGATTTCGAATTCCAACCTATCCATTTTTATTGCCTCCCCATTGGGGAATTTACTTCTATATTCAGCAGTGTGAATGTCCTATCACTCCATCACATTTTCTTGCCGCTCTTGTGTCCTTTTGTATCATTCCAGCTGTTTAATCTTTTCTGTTCCTCCATTCAAACTGCTAGAGAAAACCACAGCTGTATAATGAATGCCACTAAGTATGTAAGGTTTCCAACCTCAGCCAAACCCTCATTACCAACAAGCAACCCTTTGTGGTTTCCTGGTCTATTTGCTGTCCTTAATCACTATGGCAGTTATTTACACCTTCACTGCTCTCCTTAATTCCTCACCTCA